ACGAACCAAGGAACGTTGACTCCTGCAACCAGGCCGTGGCACCATCCATCCTTTTATCCCCAGAATATGCCCCTAACGAGCCCCAGCTGCATAGTTAATCTTGCATCCTGAAAAGACTCACAGAAGACGTCTGCTGAGTCACAACATGTATGTATGTGTATATGTGTGTATACACACACACACACACAGAGAAATACACAAGAATACTGAGAGAGAAATTTGATCTTTTACTTCCTTTGTTCCTGCTAGATGTGAAACTGAGCGAGAATGAAGACAATGCAGCCATCATAAATAACCTTTCGGATAGTTTTAAGCTCATAACGAATAAATATTTGCCATTGGTGCAGTCTTGGATTCAGGTAAGACTTTTTTTTTTAACTAACTTAAGAATGAAGTTGGATTGCTTTCCTTCTGTAATTACAGGGGTGCTGAGATCTTGGGGACCAAAACAGCTGAGATGCTTTTGGGGCCTAGACTAACAAAGAGAAGGACCAGGGGTGACGTGATAGCAGTCTTCCAGTATTTGTGGGGTCAAGAGTGGGGGGGGGGGTCAACCTATTCTCCAAAGCACCTGAAGGCAGGACAAGGAACAATGGATGGAAACTAACCAAGAGAGAGAAGCATCCTGGAATTAAGGAGAAACCGTGTTAGATTTTTAGCTCCTTATTTTTCTCTGCATTATTTTTGTCAATTTGAAATAAACAGATGAGCCTCCGGTAGTTAAGTGTTGCAAACTGCTGTTATTTTTCCTTGTGTATGAAATGCACAGCCCCATCTCAGACGAACTGACTAATTTGTAATTTGTAGTTATTCACCAGGGCTGGGATAAGCGACGATCGGCTGAGACAAGCCATTGACCTTAAAAATAGATTGGAGGCGGCTTTGGAGAAGACTAAAAAAATGGACATTGATTTTAAAGAGAAGAAAAAATGGGTGAGTCGAACCCGACATTTCTAGCGAATCCTGAAATTGAAGTGACTGTATTTTCTTAATGGGCTAATTATTAATTCTTGCCAATGAAGGAGAATATTTGCAACACAGGGTTGAAATGATGCTCTCTGAGCTCTGTGGTTTTCTTGCAGACGTTTCATNCCTCTTCTGCTGTTGTTACTCTGTTACTCGGTTTTCCCGGTTCTTCTGTTACTCTGTTAATGTTTCATCCTGCGTGTTTTCTCCCCTGGCCTTCCGCTCTCTCTGCGTTCTCTTCTCCTGCCTCCCTGGGAGCCTTTTCAGTCCCCCGCACAGGGCAGGCCTCCCTCTCTACCGGCCGCCTCCCTCCGCCTGCCCGGAGCTTCTGCCCTCTGGAGCCCCCGCGGCTTCCAGCTGCTTCAAGCCCGCTCAGTCCTGGAAGCTGTTTTGGAGAGGGTGGGGGGGGGGTCATGGAGAGAAAGTTCCCTCCGGATTTTATTGGTCACCTTATAAGCCATGGTGGTTTCCCCCCTCCCTCCCTCCCCCCAGGGATGGACCAGCAGCTGGCTCAGCTTGTGGAAGACTTGACCACCTCTGGAGAACCACAGCTGGATCCAAAGAAGATGAAAGCACTGAAGAACATCTGCAGGTAGCCCTGGAAGAGGATGTTTATAGCTCAGGGTTCAGCTCTCTGAGCTGGGCAATTTTCTTGCAGACGTTTCATGACCCAACTAGGTAACATCATCAGTGCTAGGAGGAAGGGGGGGTTTGCAGAGAGGAGTTGGAGAAAGAGGAAAAGGAGGAAGACTGTGGATCCTTGGTACTCTCTGAGCTGGGCAGTTTTCTTGCAAACCTTTCATGACCCAACTAGGTAACATCATCAGTGCTAGGAGGAAGGGGGGTTTGCAGACAGGAGGAGGAGGAACAGAAGGAGGACTGTGGATCCTTGGTGCTCTCTGAGCTTGGTTGTTTTCTTGCAGACCTTCCATGACCCAACTAGGCAATATCATCAGGGCTAGAAGGAGCCCCCTGCATATAGTCCCTTCACTAAAATATTGAGTTACTGAAAATATGAAAAGATTTTGGAAATTTTCCTTTTTCTTGCAAAAAGAGCCCAAGAAACCACCTTTTCCCCCCCACAAGGTTTGCAAATAGAGCTGCATAATTTGTAGGTCTTGCATAATCCTAGGTGTGCTGACTTGGGAGAAATCTTAACTGTTTCAAGTAGTTGTTTCGAGTTTACCTGTGCAAAGCTCGGTTGGGTGGACTAATCTACTTTGATCTGAAATAATTAACCACAGTCAGGCTGGCAGACTGTCGGAAAAGGTGGCAGATGGGCACCAAAACAATCCCAGAAGAAGAATCTGTGTGGACTTCAGGTCCCAGAATTCCCTGTGCTGGCTGATGAATTCTGGGACTTGAACTCCACATAGCTTAAAGTTGTTGAAGTTAATAAACATTCCTGTAGAGCCCATGCATTGAATTGCTGGCTCAGTTTGAAGTTTGCACTGTATTATACAAGGACCAGGGGAGACATGATAGCAGTGCTCCAATATCTCAGGGGCTGCCCCAAAGAAGAGGGAGTCAAGCTATTCTCCAAGGCACCTGAGGGTAGGACAAGAAGCAATGGGTGGAAACTAATCNAGAGAGGAGAGGAGGAGCAAGAGAAAGAGATGAACGAGAGAGAGAGAGAAGGAGGAGTGAGAGGGAAGGAGGGAGAGTATTGATTATGGCGCTTATGGTTCTATTTCCTAAAACATTGAACCGGATCCCATAACCCATACTCCCTGTAGTGGAAGGTGATTGTGGTTCATGCCTGACCTTTCTCCTGTCTTTCGTTCCAGTCCTTGCTTTCTGTTCGCCAGGATGACAGAGTCGTTTGCCCGAGAACCAAAGAGGTCTTCAGTTTCTCCCAAGCCGAGAAAGTCTACATCATGTAAAAGCCCCTCTCGCGCGCAAATGAAGTGCCACTGGATTTTTGACACAATTTATTCTAGCCATGCCCTGTAAAAAAAGATCTCGGGGAGTTCGCGCGACAAAGAAGGCTGCCACTCGGGAGGGACGGGGGACGGGGTGGGAAATGGAGACTTCGTTGGTGGCAATTTTTTTCCTTGCGACCAAAGATCCGTGGGCGAAAAGCATAACACACTCTGACAAAAAGCCAGGCAGTGCGACTAAAGTTTAAAAGAAAAAAAGAAAAGTTGCACTCGGAGGGAACAAATTTTGAATGTTTGGATTTTTGTAACCACGATTGGGATTTTTTTTTCTCAAATACTCATCCAGTGGAAGCAGCTTACTCAAAACAGATCATTTCACATGAGAGAGAGAGAGGGGGAGAGAATTAACTTTAGATCTCACAAGGGGGGTGGGGGAGACAGTTCTCACTCCAGTTTTGCGTATCCCCCGTTTCTACTTGTGTGTGTGAAATATTTTTTGACTCGAAGGGACTCAATATGCAAACCTGTAACAGACGCATGAGAGGGCTGGTTTCAGCTTGCCGATGCGTGTCACTCCCGGTCCTCCGGGACCCGTGTGCTGCACATGCCTTTCCCCTTTCCGATGTGTGCTGGTGTCACACCCAACTGGAAGCACGCGCCCAGCTGTGCAAAAACACACTCTTAGCGAACACTTTGTTTGGTGCCGTCTTTCACGCAGCCTTTAAAAGGGGGGGGCAGTCCCTGGAATCGATGCTGGATGGTTGCTAACACAAGATAGAAAAGATAGAGAAGGGTTTGTTGTCGTCTCTGAAATCTCTACAATTCAGTTTTTCTCAACCTTGGGGACTGGAAGATGGGTGGACTTCCACTCCCAGAATTCCCCAGCCAGAAAAGCAGAGCTGGCTGGGGAGTTCTGGGAGTGGAAGTCCACCCATCTTCCAGTCCCCAAGGTTGAGAAAAACTGAATTGTAGAGATTTCAGAGACGACAACAAACCCTTCTCTATCTTTTCTATCTTGTGTTAGCAACCATCCAGCATCGA